CAAACATAAAAATTATAAGAAATTATTGATTTGTGAAATTATTTTTTTCATTTACTTATTTGTGATATTTTATTTCGTTCAAACATGTTGATGTTAATTATATAAAAAAATTTATTCTAAATATACTAATTATAATCACAAACTATTAAAACAAAAGAGTAGAAAATTATTTTGTTTTTTTGAATGAACGCCTTAGATGTTAAAAGGAAAATTTTCAGAAAAGTAAAGCAATATCTTCAACCATTATTTTCAAGAATGTTATTGCTTTTTCCATGACAACTAAAGTGCTGAAGGTTATCATATCTTTGATACGTATGATAATATGATTTAGCAATAATTCTATATAAAGAAAATATAATTATTTATTTTTGTTATTAGAAGATCTTCAAAAAAAAAGTCTAAAAGATTTGCATTTATTCAAATCCAATAATCACACTTTGAATACGGGAATAAAATCAAAAAAATAATTCATAGACCGGAATATACCATTTAAGACACTACAAATAGACAAACCTCAGATAATAAAACGTGAGAATCAATTGTTTCTTAGTGTAATTTTCTGTTCCTAAACTATTTTCAACGTTCGATAAATTACTGATGATGGAACAACAAGGAGAGGAGAGGTCGTTTAGAGATGCAATCAATTACGTTGAGAAATCTTCATTTTTGCTTACCAAAATAGTTGTTTTACATGTTAAAAATTATTTTCTATCCGGATAAGATCAAAAGGATGTATATTTATCGTCAGTGGTCAATATGTCCTATTGATCTTGATATTAAACAGCCCCCAACAGCTAATACGACTATCTCATAAGCAAAAAATGATGATTTCCTGGGAAGGGAATTTTCCCTCCAAACGGTCTCTCTCCATTGAAAAGAATATTCTTGGAAAATTTTCATTACTTCATTTTTCTTTTCTATACACAGTTCAATAGCTTGTAATCACACTGTCGAAAACAAAATTTTCATTACTTCTTATATTTATCGTTGTTGAATGAGTTCATTTTTGAGAAATAATCGTCAATTCTGCTAGAATTTATTACTAATATCTAAATAATTCGTGATATTTGGAAGAAACTCCATAATTTATATATATTAAATAGTTTCAAGAAAAATGAGAGATAATACAGTCAAATTGAGAATATTTATACTATGGAACAATGTCTAACGATTGACATATATTTTAACAAGATTATTTAATATAGAAAGACATACAAGAAAACTAGTGTCCTATATTTTATTGATAACTTGGAAATAATATCTTTAAGAGATACATTACTGTCAACATCGACGTACGTATTGACTCACTAACACTAAAACACTGATCCTATAAAAGTACTTGCATATTTATTGTGTTATCTCAACCATCAGAGACAAATAGTCAAATGATTTTTCACTCGATCAAATAATAAAATGAGAATTTATTCTGACAATCTACATAGTCTTACTCTAAGATTCTCATGAGATGATACTATTTTGTACGATCTCGTATGATCTTATCAAAAGATAATACGTCTCATGGCTAGTAAGATCTTATACACTCTTGCAACATGACTTGATGTAGTTTTTTAGAGACTACTATGTTTCGCAGGTCTTAATCTTAGCTTTTTACCGTTATACAAAATTAATCATTGAATCTTGAAAACTTTATCAACTGTTTAGTTGGTCTGGTTTTTATGCTTTAAAATATCCAGGTAATCAATTGGAAAATGACTATCATCATATGAAAGTTAAGGAGATCCATTGCAGTCAGTCGAAGATAGAGTCAATGTATTAGTATTTCACTGTCTGTATTACAGACAATCAGCATCTCGAGAATGATACATTTCTAGTTGTATGATATATTCAACACAACATAATTAAATTAAGACAACTTTCTCAATAAGAAAAATCTGTATAAAAACTTTAGCATGTGTAATTATATATCATTGGTACGCATATACAATTGATACTTATTGTAATATAATATTACTCTTGCACAGTAAACTTTTTGCATTCATCCTTCTTCTACTTAATCGATTGATTTCCATTAAAAAAAAAGGTGATGTCAAAATAATTCTTCTACTAATCACAATTATTCTAACTAATCTCACTTCTATTTATTAATCAAAACCACGCAATAAGTCCATAACCATCCTTCTCAACAACAATCTGCGGTTTTTCATTCAGTGGTAAAGCAAGAATGTTATTCCGTAGTTGTTTAATGAATAAAGATTGTTTAGTATGCGCCCCATCAAAGTTACGACGATTTTGATGATTTTTACGTCGAAAACAAAAGCAAAAATCAGAGATCGTTGATGCTGTTTCTGCAATAATTTGACAAGTTGTATCATTTGGTGGAATATTCATACCATATAAAAGTATACGTAAAGACTTCAAGAACGGTAAAGTAGAAAGAGTCGGCAAATCATTCCAATCGTTTCTTGCAAGATGAAGATGTTCATGATTAAGAGTAATTTGAATAGATCGAATATTTATTGAAAAAAAACAACTATTCAATGAATCAAGACTGTCTGTAATAATAAGATAATCAAAAGTAGGTAAATTTACAGATGTTTGTCTATCACATCGTGATAAATGAAGTTCAGCCACTTGGTTCGAGGATATTATGTGAGGAAAAGAAATAGCCAATGATGGAAAATTATTTGATATATTGAGTTTACGAAGACGTGAAGGAGCAACTGTATTAACTGGAGAAGGTGATGTAAAAACTTGTAATTGACTAATATATCTATCTGGAAGACATAATTGAAAAAATTCATCAAAAATCCACGGCAAAGTATAGAATAGATGTTGTCGATTTCTAGGTTTCTCCAACTAAAAGAAAGATTAATCAGATTGATTGAAAGAATATTTTATTATTGAAATAACTTGTAATATTTAAAGAGTGATTACTTACATAAATTTCATCATGATTTTTGATCGTTGAATCAAGAGTCCAACATTCAGAAATAAATGTTGCACTGACTATTTGACGAGAATGAGACAAACTACCATGTGGCACATATTGATTAAGTTCAAAATGTTCTCGGTTATCACTAATCATAAAAACATAATGAACATCTATATGACGATCGTCATCAAAGAGAGCTGAATTATTCATTTGATTCAGATCATTAATATCAATAACAATAGAAAAATTCATTCGTCGTAAAACAGGCATAACTTTAGAAGCTGTCAATACATTAACTAATGTCCATTCTTCACTTGAATGCCATTTTAGTGATTTAACAAAGGTAAACGTATGTAAAGATTCCATTCGAGGTAAAAAATCTTTATCACGTAAAGAAAAGTACATGTCACCACAAAAATCTGATATTTTTATATGTAGTTGTTGTAATGTAGATGATAACGGTTTCGTTGAGAATATATCAATCAAAAGATGTGCACGACCGAGCGAAATTTTCAGATAGGTTAAGGGTGCTTGTATCATTTTGAAAGGCCATCCATGTAAATCAAAAGATGTTTCCATTCCTAAATCAAGCGATTGAAGAGTAGGCAGACGACAAACAGTTCTCTCGAGAAATTCATACGAGTTCCATATTGGATAAGCCACTTCCCTTGTCATGCCACCCTTTATAAAACAAAAAATATTAGAAGAATATATGTAATATTAATTGAAAATTAAAATCTTTTCCTTGGTTATCCAGACATCTCGATAAAAGAAATATTTTGCATCAAAATAGAATCCTATATGAGAAAAATGAACCTATATTTTTTATGCATAGAAAGAGAAGAAAATTTTCGTAAGATACTATTAATGTAGTCAAAGAACTAGGAGTTAATTATTATATCAAAGGTTATACGTTTACTCATATTCCAGATAGTCATTACTATATAGGTAACAAATAATATTTCAGCATTGAATCTAACTGACAACTTTAATTCAAAGTAAAGTTCAAGAGAAAA